TTGGTGTACAAATTGAGACCCACTGTGATGATATGAAAGGTCATGTTTTCCTATGGCTTTAGTTATTTAACTAATCAGCACCGTATTCTATGTATTCAATATCAAGCAATTTATACAATTAAATAATTGTTGTGTATAGACATGTACTTAAATTCACCTAGGTCATTGATGATTACGACACATTTTTTGGTAATTTTCTAATTGCGTCCCTGTTGAGAAGAACTGGTGATCTACTGCTCTACGGAGCCTGTCAACACACTTGTCATAAATTAAGGGTCATGCCAATTCATTTTCAAGGAGAGGGAGGAAATTGATTATGTACCTGATATATTTAAAAAAAACTTGCAAACAAGATATGTGTTATAGTGTGGACATGAATCTATTCAGTTGCTGCATAGGTAAGAACAGATATAATGTAGGGTTAGGTGCATCCTCAATCAACTGGTCTATCCCTAATTGTCATTTTCCCTTTACCATCTTGTGTAAGATCAATTATGTAATGAATACATAATTCAATACATTCCTCAACGTATCAGTGTATTAATGTTTTTTTATAATAAAAATTGTTTCATTTACTATAAACAGTTTTTTGTTTAATTTGTTTAATAAAAACAAAAATTATTGAAATTGGAGACTCTAGTTTGTTGCATGAGAATATTTGTTGTAATGTTTTGCACTCAATTGAGTCGTGTTAAGTTTGAATATTTGTTTATCATTTATCAATGGGTCACTACCCTATAAGATACAGATTGAGGGGTGCAAAGGAGATAAAACATTTGAGAAATAAATTCTGTTCTGAAAGTATGTATGTAGTCAAGTCAATATCAGAAATTGAAACGTATTTCACTACCAAACTGTTACAGCCTCGAGTAGAAATGAAAAATAAATTGAAAAAAATGTTTGTTTTTGCAGAAAATCCATGCTTAAGAATGTTAGTACCTGTTTGGACAAATTCCGAAAACATTGTTTTGTTTATTTTCAATTTTGAATATGTGTTAGTCTGCTGCTGTTTTTTAGACATAACTTGACGGATCTCATTCAAAATTTAAACATACATCAAACATGCACAGGCAATAATTTTCCATTAAGATTTATGAAAGGCAGCCATTTTTTTTTGTCATTTTGGAATCAAATCTTGGTGTGCATGGACATATTTGTTTTAAACAAGATACATTAATCATTACATTAAAGAAGTAATGGAAGTTCAAGTTGTATTTTGATCTTCATTAATTTCATTTGAATCATTCCCCACAAATTGAATGAATTTAAATTCACTGTCAACTTTCCTATGAATTAATAATGATTGTGATTAAAATTACTATTAATTTAATAAACCTCATCCACTTTATCTCATTAATTATGTATGCATACCCCAATGACTTTAATAAAACTTTGCACATGTTTTGAAAGAAGTGGTTCAAATGAAATGAAGCTTCCAGGATAAATTATCAGATATTTTACCCAATATACTTATTTTTTGACGTACTGGGATGTGGAAATTTTTTAAATCAATGTAATTTTGGTACAGCTATGATTACCTTGTAGTGCAAGTTGTTTTTTATTATTATTCTGTGCATGCTAATTACCTAATTTGCATAATAATTAACATACTGTTCGCAACAAAACAAAAATATTCTGGTTCTTGTAAAAACTCCCACCACTTTGTCAGAAATCATATAAAGAGCCTCCTGGTTCCCGAAACAAAAATATAATTTTACCAAACTGTCGTCATCTGATTCGCGCGAGCGTAAACCAGTCCATATATCCTCGTATGTATGATAATGTTGCGGCTAGGACCGAATAAATACTAGACCTTGACTGGTGTTGATACAAAAGTGTATATTTCACTTTGTGAAATTTGTATGCAAAGACTTGCTTGCACTGGTGGGAGCTTGCCTTCAGCGGTAGGAAGTAATAAAAACGTTCTAATAGTTTGTATTTTTCACGTATAAATGACAATGAGTGTTTGATTGGGTGCATGACCGTAGTATGTACATGTAGTGTTTGATAACATTTCACTTCCTCGCATCTGGTTGATGAACAAACTTGGACCGAGACGTGTTGTCTAGATCCTGTGTTTACAGTGTGTAAATAGTTTTATGCAAGATCTTGGATCTCGATATGTTTGTCGTGAAAATCATTATAATGCGCTTTGCAGCTCAAGCTTCCTGGTTGCCTCGGTGACCGATGAAAATAGATCAGATAGTCTTATTTCACAGTCGTTTTCATTCTTCACTGTATTAATGTCACAGAATCATATTTGACACGACGCGATCTGATAGTATGACACGCTGCGTCTACAAATAAAAATCAAGCTGTTCTTTTCTATAGGTAAACATAAACGATCCATAGAAATCACAGGGAAATAAATGGGTAATAACGGTTCAAATAATGAGTGGCACCCGCGGCTAGTAAACTGTTGGTACCTGTCTCTGTGGAAATGAACGGCTACATCATGAAATTCAGCGTATCGTGGTTGCTACATTACCCCTGGTCATGGTGCTCTCTTTTTCAGCCCTATGTCCTGATTTTCCAACATCGCATGGGAAACTAACCCAAGTTCAGCCTCGAATGATGGATATACATCCGAGTAATAACTTTTAGTTACTAATTTAAGTTTAAAAAAAGCTAATAATTACTATTTAAAAATAGAACAGGCATAACGGTCGTGTCTGTGTTGCGTGGGTTGTTTTTTTAAATACATTATACCCGGTAGACCACATTAACCTGGACCCTCGAATCCCGAATTTCAATTTAAATAAAGTGTTCTGTTACTGAGAATACGTGGCGCTTGGGGACGGAATTCTTGTCAATATTTTAAGCTGGTTAGTTGAAAAAAGGTGAGGGATTTGCTAAATGATTGACAGTGGCATTTGAAATGCGAATATAAATGTTGACTTGATAAGTTAATCCTCTGAGCGCCAAAGTCATCTTCAGGCACTATCCACAACATAGTTCAATTTGTAGTCTGCATTTTCCCCAGAGAAAATGTGAATGAAAATTTCAACTTTTTTGATCAAAAACTAAAAGCGATGTCACATTATGTCTGCTTAGTCCGATATTGAGATTGAATTTAGTGAAAATTACAGAAACTGTTAACAAATTTACCCCCATTTTGAGTGGGGAAATAATATGGCCACTCAAATGGCTAAAAATATCTACGTAATTTTACCCCTCCGCATGTATTACAGTGCTTAATTTGATATTTGCATCATAGTTTTACTGAACTAAGCTAGCAAAATAACATCCAAAACGAAAATGCACAAAGAATAACCTCATCTTCAAGTTGAAAAAAAATAACAATGACTCATTGCCTGGAAAATAAAAATACAATCCAGCTCCAGAATATTACTATTATAATGCTGCCCCTGTGTGTGAGCAAATATTCAAGTATATGTTTCGAGGTAAAGACTAGGTTTGTATTCGCCGAATCGTTCATCAAAAAAGTTTATGTATAGATTATGTTTCTTTTGTAATTATTTGTTCTCTTATTTATTCATTGCTAATCATTATTTAGTCATTCTAGTCATGCACCGACATAACGGCAATACTAACAAATACCAATCAATATGATATGAATTGAATTAAATGTGCTACTGAAATAGAATTAGTAAACCCGGCAAGTTTCGAAACAACGATAATATACACCGTATTTTACAGTAGTTTTGTTTCTATTTGGATGTGTGATTCGAGTACAATGTAAGCATATTCTGGGTGTAAACACGTGTACAAATTAACTATGTTACGATGCACCAATGTTTAAGGCGCGGTTGCGCAGCGCGTGTTCTAATTTCATGTAAATAAACAATGTATTTTACACGCGTTGTATACGTCGCTATGAGTCGCATATCGAACAGAACGCGACGCGACGACCACCGCTCTTTAAAACAGCTTGACGCACGGAAATGCCATACACATACTGTTATTACATTACGTTACATTGCACTATATTTACGCTGTAGTTATTTCACATTAGCAATCGAAACATGTAAAACCAGTGTCGAACAAACACACGCGCATACGCACGCGTATACGACTGATTATCGCTTGCCTATGTTGAGTAAATATTCCCCCGGTGTTATCAGTTGTATCGCGTAATGTAATCACTGGCACTGTGCCACTACACGATTGATCAAATCAGATCAACTATTGTTCGATTTCGGTGTGCCTGGAAATATATAGTACCTGGGGAAAATGGTTTCAAAGATGTATCTCATAACAATGCCATTAATTATGACATGCCTCGACCCAGAGCAAATTAAATTTTCCGTCTCCAATAGAATGTTGTCACCATGGAATTCTGACATTTGAATGTATTATACGTTATAATATTCTTTCACGTGATTTGGAATGTTCTGGTGGTTAATTTAAAAGTAATACCCATGGGGGGGGGGGTGTAGCAAAATTTTGTTGAAAATAGTGTTCAGTTGCCAGTGTTACATATATAATTACATGCTATAAAGAACTACCTAATTTCGGACAAAATAATGAAATCAAACTCGTAAAATAACTAATCTGCATATTCTCGCCCATTGGTCATTAGAATGTATGAGTCATAGATGATATACTGACGTAACAAAAAGCTTTTAGCTATTAGGGAAAGATTTATTTGACTGGGCTACTTGCTTATGTTGAACTCAGCTCGAAACAAACAGCTATGTTGGCCACGGTCTGTTTGCCTTTCAGTAATCCATAAATCTGCGTCTTTTTTAAATATAAAATGATGTAATATTTTATCAAACTGGCATCAACCACGTTCTGTGAGTGATTAACCAGAAATATACTGTACAGTTATAAACGAATTGTGTGCTTTTATATTTAACATGTCTCTATTTTGTTTTTTGCCGTGCACCCTGTTCTAATTTTGTATTATCAAAGTAAATGTATTGCCCAAAGGCCGGCATATACACTATCATAACTTGTCCGAAAATGTTGCGGACATTGTAGCACGTATACAATGCATATATATACATGTAATTGCAACTTTTGCCTGGAACTATGACCCACCTTCAAGCCAACCGCTGAAGATGATATATTCTGAAAGTGAAAATAATGTGGCCGTTTTCGCTACCATTATTGCAATGTGAATGAACAAAAACCAAACCAAGAACGCTTAGAAAGAACTGTAACATTTGAAAACACGTGGGTCGTTTGGCATACACACTTGCAGGATTTATTTACTTAGCTGTCACATGGCCACATGAAAGTTGTATCTAACGTAGCATTGATTTTTAATTAGACACTATGTGTGAATTATGAGCTTTCGTGAAATTTATAGTTTGATACGATTTAAAACAATTCTATGAAAATAATTATTATGAATTTTATTTTCTGAAAAACTACCTCCTTAAAAAAACGCATTGATGTATATTGGAAGAATGAAGAAATCCTACAAACATGTTTGTAACTTACTTACTAGTATTTCGTTCATTTTAGCTTCATATTGTATTATTATTTTCAAATATTTAATTATTATATCATTGACTTGGTATGGAGTGGATGAGTGGGAACACAGTGGATTCTGTGTGCGAGGATTTTAAAACTTGTTAAATTATATCAAGGTAATTCATGGGTCCCTGTATTACATATACGCAATATATAATAATTCTGGTCATAACATGTTTATATGAAATAGCACTACTAGTATGTTACACACAAAAACAGATAAAATTATATTCGTAAGATATGCTTCCTTGGGAGTATTAACTGCAGGAATCCACTTTAGATGTGGCAGATATCCGATATTAGTGCTATTGTATTGGGTATTTTTTCATGATCTTCGTTCGTATTGTATCACCCCTTCGCCGCTTTTGGTACGCATGCGTGGTCTAAAGTTGTTTTGACTTCTACAGTCAGCCTTGCTGGGACATAGTGATACTCGATATATGGTTGTGAATCTAGTACAGAGAAGAAGAAAAAAATGACAAATAATAAATAATAAATACAAGTATCTCGTTATTATTGGTCTTGATATCATTGTAGCTGTGGGGGACTTGTGTTGTTAGTATGTTATATATATATATGTATGTGTATGCAGTGGATGAATCAGAATTACTTTCTATATGATAGCATGGGGTTAAGGAGCACCCACCGGCAAACGTCTACGCATCAGAAATGTTTCGTAATTCCCCGGACATCCAGCCATTCCTGCGTGTATCACTACAGTATAGAGTGACACAGTCTGATCGTCTGTTGCGTCGGTGTTTGTGTTATATAACTGTTATATGTAAGCGCTGTTTTGCCGCTAGGAGGCTGGTACGCACATCCCGAATATTTTAACCGACGCATTTTTTGCTACACCCTAGAATTCTCAAATAGTACCAGTTACGGTTGTTGGCGTATCAAGCTGTGCAAGTAGTATGACAAGGAAAGTTTGAATAATCATTTCTAAAGGAATAGGAGCTGCATTTGTTGCAAAGTCTGTCGTGTTTTTTTTAAATGACTTATGTGGTACGACACGAGTAATAACATGATATTATGTCCTAACATATGACGTATATTTGGAATAATCGCTTGTAAAATAGAGGAAATTATTTTTTGTTCAAACAGCAATTTCAGTTGTATACGTATATTGTACATGTTAGCGACAAGTGAATCCCATTGCGGTATCATTAAGGTTATTTGGCTCAGTAAAAAAAAAGCAAAATACGAAGTTCGTGGTCATTGTATAAATCTGTATATTCTGATTTTCCGTGGGCATCTTCTATGAACAACATAAAAGCACGTTGAATATCATTAAAAATTGGTCACCAGTAGCACGGTGATCAATTTTGGCATGTCAATAGTCGAGGCCTTTTTATTGGTCCATCAGTTGTTTTGTTTTTTGGCGATTGTTAAGTCTGGAACAAGATAAAAT